ACCCACTTCCCTGTTGCCTGTCCCCCAGGGGGGAGGTTATATGTAGATCCTTGTAATTGGTTCCCCCTTCCTACCCCACCTTCCCCACCCTCTGGTATCACCACTCTCACCACTGGACCTGAGGGATCATCTGTCCGGATTCCGCCGTCATCATTTTCTAAGCATTTTCTTTCTACTTGAGCCCTGGTATCGTCTCTTTCCTTTCTTCCCCTCTTTATTTTCTTGATGGTATCTTTTGAAGAGTCAATTTTTACTTTGATGAAGCTTTGTTTATCAATTCTTGTTTCTTATTTATCTTTTTGGTGATTTTATTATCTTTTTGCTTGTGTGTATCCTAAGTAATGCTTGCTTCCTCCAAAGTTGTCAAAATTTTCTGCTAGAAATATGATTTCCATTTTATGAACAAGGACACTGAGGCTCAGGGGAACAAACACCTCCCCTAGGTCACACATTTGCTATGTGTGTGAGTTAGTTAATTCTGCAAACCTGGCCGATAATCACATGTGGGGCTAATTGAAAGGCCGAGGGATAAATGGGTGGTGAGCCTCGCCTTTCTAGTTCTCAGGTCTCTTGCTTTGTGATGGTCGCACCAGGGTGCAGCTGCCTTAGCAGTTCCCTGCTTCAGCTTGCAAGATTGACTTCCTATAAGACATCCCCAAGGAGAAGCCACATGGACGTATCCTGATGCAGCCCTGGGCGCTGGAGCAGCCGTGTGGAGACCCCTGCTAATGCTGAGATGCTTGTTCATTCACTGACTCAGCTTTCCTCCTGCAGTCGGCATCATTGCCTCTGTTTTGTGAGGTGGAGGACTCTGTGGACTGGTGTTGGGTATGGGTTAATGTTGGACTTGTGGGCTTGGGCAGCATTGGGTTGGGATGTTTTCGTGATGCACATTTTCTTTACATAAAACTCTCTTATCCATGAGTTGCTGTGGATTTGTTTCTCCAAAGTACCTAGACTAATACAGTGTGAGAGCCGGGATTTGAACCCAGGAGTACTTGACTTGGAAGATGGGGGCTGCTTTCCCACAGTGGGCCAGGAGTAGCCCTGGCCCTTTAAGGATACAGTTGCTGGCTCCAGATCAGACAGTTAAGAGCAGCTCTCGCCCAGAATCCCATGTATGGAATGATGGGAAAGCAGAGCCTCTTAGAAAAATGTCCCGTTCCTGGCTGCCCTCTCTGAACTGGGGCGGTTCCAGCTGGACGCAGTGATTGTACCCTCTGGGGCCTGGGCAGCCTGAGCCAGAGAGGGGGCTTTGGGAAGGATCAGATCCCATGTCACGATCCCATTTCAGGACGGCAAGGCTGCTTCCAGTCCCTGACCCTCTGTCCACCCTGACCCTCTGAGGCAATGGTTCTAAACCTGTAGGTCACGACCCTTTTGGGGGTCAAACGACCCTTTCACGGGGTCTCCCGATTCATCACAGTAGCAAAATGACAGTTATGAAGCAGCAGTGAAAATAATTTGATGGTTGGGGCTCACCGCCACATGAGGAACTGTATGAAAGGGTCGCGGTCTGAGGAAGGTGGGGAACTCAGTCCGAGGCCTGTTCAGCTTCGTAAGCATCAGTGGAGAGGCAGAGGTAGGGAGTGATGTGTCCCGCCAGGACGTGGTCTCAGCATTGCTGCCTCCTTGCAAGGAATCAGCATGGGTTTTCTCTGTGGAGTTGGTGGCTGCAGGGCCTGGTGCTGGGCTGGGGTCCCCTGGAACACAGCATTTCTATTGTCTTTCTGAGTCAACTCTCCTGGTCTTCTGTTGGCTCCTCCTAGCTTGGCTCTGCTGCAGGCCTGAGAGAAATGCCTGTCAACAGGGTAGGGCTTTCTCCACAAGAAGTCACCTGGCACCAGACTAGATTAGGCAGTAGCATGCTACCCAAACACGCCCTGGTCATTAATGTTGGGCTGGCTCACAGAATGGATGGGTGAGGGTCGGGATGTATGGGGAGGGTGGGGAGCTAGGGATCATCTGTATTTGCCGGGCAACTAGCCTCCTTTCACCAGATGGACTGTCAGATTGACTGCTCATCTCTGGACACACTGCACAGGTGCCTCTCGAGTACTTCAAATGGCATGAGAGGCCTGGGGAGATGTGTGGCCTCTGTTGGTTATGTAGAGGGTGTGTTGGCTGTGTGTGGTGTGTGTTGGGTATGTGTGTTATGTGTTAGGTATGTGTAGCGTGTGCTGGTTATATGGTGTATGTTGGGTATTTATAATGTGGGGAGGTCTGTTGGGTATTTATGGCGTGTGTTGGGTATGTGTGTGTTTCCCACTAGGGGAGCATTGAGCAACTTGCTCTGAGTTAGTGCCCCCAGTGGCATCCCTTAGGAAGGTTCTCTGGTCACAGTGAATTTTTTTTTTTTTTTTTTCAAAAGCAGCTTTGCTTGAACCTGTTTGTGTGTAATGGCTGATTTAAGAGAACAGTGTGCAGCTGTGAAATTTTGTTTCCTGCTCAGGAAAAATTCTGCAGAAACTTGTGATGTTGAACCCAGCTTACAAGGACAGAGGTATAGGAAAAACTGAAGTGTAAGAGTGGTTTTCTTGTTTCAAAAAGGTGGCGGGGGTGGGGTGGGGCGGGGGGAGGGGGTGGTGGTGTGAAAATATCATTTGCTGACAAACCTCATTCTGGATGTCTGTCAACTTCCCAAATGGACGAAAATGGCGACAAAGTCCGTACACATGTGCTCAAAGACCTATAATGGACCGTTGAAGAGATGGGAAGTTATCTGGACTCTCTCAGGGCTCGGTTCAGCAAATGTTAATGGAAGATTTGGGAACTAAAAGGGTCACTGAGGAATTTGTGCCTCGGGTTATGACTGACCAGCAAAAGGAGCATCAAGTGGAAACATGCCCTGCTTAGAAGGAACAGCTCTGAGGTGACCCAGACTTTTTCCAAGGTCATTACTGGTATGAGACGTGGTGCTATTCTTATGACCCGGTAAGCAAACATCCATCAAGCCAGTGGAAGATGCCATTGTCACCTTGCCCAAAAAAAGATCATCAAGTTGAAATCAAAGATCAAGACAATGCTCATTTACTTTTGTTTTTTAAATGTGAGCGGGATAGTACATTCGAAGTTCCTTCTGCCAGGTCAGACTGTTCATCAAGCTTTCTATTTAGAGGTTCTGAAAAGATTGTGTGACAGTGTGCGACACAGAAGGCCTTATTTGTGGCAGACTGGGGACTGGTTTTGCCACCAGGACAATGCACCTTCTCACGCAGCCATCTCAGTGCTCTAGTTTTTGGCAAAAAACAGCATGCCTCTCTTGCCCCACGCACCTGACTCACCTGACTTCGCTCCAGGCGACTTCTTTTTGTTCCCGCGAACAAAGACAGATGTGAAAGGGCAGCAATTTGACAGCATAGCAGAGGTGAAGAAAAAAATGAGGGAAGTGCTGTCAGCCATCCAAACAGATGAGTTTGAAAAATGTTTCTAAGAATGGAATCACAGATTTGATAAATCTATTAAGTGTAATGGAGAATACTTTGAAGGTGATAAGGTTGTTTTGTAAAAAAAAAAACAAAAAAAATTAAACATAGCTCTGGGGGAAAAAATTCCAGGTTTATTTTTGGTACCCCCTGGTATAGTTGGGTATATGTGGTGAGTGTTGGGTATGTGTGGCATATTTTGGGTATTGTATTGTGTGTTGATTATGTTTGGTGTGTGTTTGGTATGTGGAGTGTGTGCTGGGCATATGTGGCTGGGTATATGTGGTGTGTGTTGGGTATTGTATGTTGCGTATGTATGGCCCATGTTAGGTATATGTGTAAGGTGACCAGATTTTAACATTGGTAAAGCGGGACACCATTGATAAAAGTCATATGCTAGCGAAATAGCCACATGGCAGCGAAATCCGTGCACCCTAGCTTGTCATGCATTCTTTCCAAAAATCGGGACTTTTTAAAAATGCCGCGGGACGTGGGAAAAATTGTCAAAAATCGGGACTGTCCCGTCAAAAGCGGACGTCTGGTCACCTTATATATGTGACACATGTGCTCTACTCCTGATGGCAACAGTGGAGTGAGCGTTTCTGTTTCCATCCTTCTGTCTCCCCACGACGTCCCTGATTGAGTTGTATCTGGATTTCAGTTCACCTTAACCCTACCTTTCATGTTTCAATGCTGATAAGCCACAGCCTTTTCCTGGCTACTGCTGCCTTTCCAAATGAGAGTGGGTGCTGCCAGGCACCTGTGAGTCAGTGGTGACGCCTAGTCCCCTCTGTGCAGCAGAGTGAAACCCTGCCCGGCCTGTGCCACCCTCACGGGCAGGCCTCTTTGAGCCGTTGGTGCGCAGCTGCTCTGACTGCCTGTCTTGTGGGAGGTCTTCCTTTTTTCCCTGCTCGCCCTCTACTCTACCAAGCATGCTGTCCTTCCAGGGGCTGGCCACCTCCTGACAGCATGTCCAAAGTACACGAAAGAATGTCTCGATACCCTCAGTTCTGTGGTGCATTCTGGCCAGACCTCTTCCAAGACAGGCTTTTTTTTTTTTTAATAGTCAATATTGATAACATGGCATAGTCAATATTCCTCAGCAACTCCCCAATTCCCCTTCAGTCTCCCTTATTCTGATGATTAAACATACCCTGGGTTGGGTTAGGAACAACTTAGTCCTCAAAATGACATCTTTGCTTTTTAGCGCTCTCGCGTGGTCTTTGTGTGCGCGCTTGCCCAGTGCAGCATGCCATTGGATTTCTCGATGGCTGCTTCCGTGGGCGTTGACGCACATGAGGGAAATCTTTGGCAATTTCAGCGTTTTCTCCATTTATCACGGATTTGTCGATTGGTTTAGTTGTGAGGGTTTTTCTTTCCCTAGTGTGCAGGTGTAATCCATACTGAAGCCTGTTGCGTGTCTTCAGGTTAAGGGGGAGAGCGCTCACAGCCCCCCACAATGCCCTCCACGGCCCGCTCACTCCGGGCCTGTGTTTGATGGTTTAGTGTAACACGCAGGTGTCCCTTCCGATGATGGAGGCATTTGTGTGATAACTCCCTTCTCTTTTCCCCCAGATGCTGGGACTGACAGACTCACTGGGGTTTGTACATGTTGGGGAGGGGCCTTCCCTTCGGGGGTGACCACATTCATCTGGGAATGCCAGCAGCCCTCCAGACCCATGGACCTGAAGGAGAAGCTTCCGGTGAGCCGTGTTCTGTTCCCCTTTGGGCGTTATCTGCCTGTGTGTGCCTGGGAGGGCCTCTTGTGGGGGCTTTAAGCCAAAGTGAGAAGGGGGCCCCCCCGGGAGGGTGCCAGTGGTTGGGGGGCTGAAGGGTGGGAGCGCGAGCACTGAACAGGGAGTGAGCGTCCTGATGGGCTTTCTGAATGGCTCTGGGCCAAGCCTGCACTTCTTGCCCAGGGCTGTGTAATTTCGTCTGCTGGCTCTTGGCTAGGGCTGTGCCCAGGCCTGCTGAGCCATGGTGGGCAAGTTCAGTTGTGCAGGGCACCCTCTCTGTGGTTAGTGCGGCACTCCTCAACCCGATTCCAAGCCCTGCTTGCTTCATCAGCTGGTGGAGAGCAGACAGGGCAGCCCATCCCGGGCCACAGCCTCCTTCTCCCAGCCTTACCCAGCCCAGATGTGTCCACCAAGCAGCCCCCAGCAAAGACAGAGACTGCTCCTGAGCAGGAGCTAGCTGGTGCTTCTTCTCTGGCTGACCCAAGGGCTGATCAGAGCGGCCCGTCTCTGGCTTCCATCCTCCACACAGCAAGCAGATAGCCACCCGAAACGCAGAGCTGACCTTTAGCCTCCCCTGCGGAACCCTGGTCCAGGGCTCCCTGCTGCTGACAAGATCCAACCTTAGTGTGATGCGCACAGCCCCTCGCCACGTGCCCCTGCCCATCTTGTCAGTCTGTAGCCTCCCTGCCCTGCCCTTTACCCCTAGTCATTCCGAATACCTCACAGTGGCAGCCGCACACCCTAGTTAGGGGTCTGAGTCCCCTTGCCTGGCAGCCTCCTTCAAGACTGCGGTAGCCTCAGCTGCCCCTCCTTTCAGCGGTCATGGTGCTGCCCCAGCGTGTGGAAGTCACCTGTCTGCCCACTCTGGCTCAGATCCCAAGCTCCTATCCCAGAGCCCTGCCTCCTAGCAAGGACTTAAGAAGAGCTCACCGACACCTGGAGCCCTAGTGGTGTCGTGGGTTATGAGTTGGACCACTAATTGCAAAGGCAGCAGTTCAGAACCACCAGTTGCTCCTCGGGAGAGAAGTGAGGCTTTCTACCTACTCCCAGAGAGAGTCAGTCTCAGAGCCCCCCAGGGCCAGTGCTGCCCTGTCCGATAAGGTCACTATGGGGTTGGCATCAACCCCATGGCAGTAAGAGTGAGTTTCGAGGGATCCCGGTGGCATAGTGGGTTACGTGTTGGGCTGGTAACCATAAGGCCAGCAGTTGGAAACCACTGCTGGAGAGCAGCCTTAGAGACTTGAACTTGAATTGCCTGTGTTCAAAGATGCCTCCACTGCCCCATGAACCTCCATCCTATTAGTGGTTGGCACAGAGGGGATGCCCTGCTCGCCTCTCACCCAGCCTGGCTGCGAGGTGTCTCGAGCCTTGCTCACCTCCTGGAACATGCTGCCTGAGGCTCCGGTGTTCTGCAGTCTGGCAGCCTGAGTGGGGAGGTTGGGGGCCTCAAAATCAGAAGACGGTGTTGTCCTGCGACTCTTTGCAGGCTCAGGACACAAGGGCCCTTTGAGGAGCCCAGGCTGCAGCTCTCGGGCTGAGTGTCCTGGAGGAACTTTCTTTGTCCTCCTTATCCCCCCTCCTTTGTGGGGTGCTTGCTTTGGGTTGACAGAGCTCCAGGCACTGGGGAGGAGGGTCCTGTTGTAGAGCCATGGCCAGGGGGTCTCAGGAATCACTGGACAAGCCCTTCAGGGCTAGAACCTGCTGCCTGTCTTCCTGCGGCCAGGCCCCGTGTGAGTTGTAGAAGTGGGTTTCTCACAAAGAATCCTGCTGGCTTAGGACAGTCAGAGGCTCCTTGGAGGAGTGGGCCTGAGCTGAGCTGGCATGCGAAGGGCTGGGGTGAAGGGGGGCGATTGCGGGAGGGGGCGTCTGTTGGCCATTGTGGGGTGATGTTCTGCATCACCCCCACTTTTCTTTCTGACTTCCCACTTGTCATCCTCCTTCCTCGTCTTTCTCCCCATCTGCTCCTGGTCCCCAGCCCCTGGTGGGGGGTGGCTGCAGCGGTGAAGCCTCCTTTCTGTCTCCAAATACACTGATCACGTATTTTATTTGATCTCTGTGATTGTGGAGAAGATACACAAAACACATCAATTCATCCATTTCCGCACGCACACTTCAGTGGCCTGGATGACATTGGCGCTGGACATTGACGTTGGCTGTCCTTTCTCGCTTTCTATTTCCAAATCCTCCCTCCGACACCCCCAGCTTCAAGTTGCTGCTGTCCCCCGCCCGAGCTCGTCCTGGAGAGAGCACAGTGCTCTTTTCTAGTGAAGCTCAGCACCAGAGGATGTTTCTGTTGAAGGTTGAATGATGTTCTCAAGACAGTTGTTCCAGGGGTTCATTTTGCCCTCTAGAACGTCAAGCCCATGAGAATTTGAGGTTCTGTTTTGCCTTTTATTCCCTCCCCGCCCCCTTTGACCAAGAGCCTTCTATGGGATCTCTGATCCATGTGCTCTGTGAAGGTCGCCAGCACCATCCGGTTCCTTCTTGTCTCTTGGCTCAGGGGTCAGTCAGCCACACATCCCCAGCCTGCTTTCTGCTCGGGACTCCTTCCTCTTCCGGCTCCAGGTGTTGTCCGTGGAAGCTGTTAAGTGTTAGGCACGAAAACGAGGAGGTAGAAGAGGAGCACTGAACATGTTATTAGGCCAATTAACCGAGCCCAATTACCTGGGCTGTCTCGTGAAACCATGACCTAACCTCAGAGCCAGGAACCCAGCGTCAGGAGGTGTTTGCTTGTGCAGGCACCCTTTGCCCTGGCCTGTAGGCTGGGCAGGAGAGGAGTCCCCGAGCTGTGCCTTCTAGGGGCCTGTGTGAAAGCAGAGGGGATGGGAGTGGGAAGCTGGGGTCCACTGTCCTGGGCCCTCCTGGCGGTTTCCATTTCTCTCCTATGGGCTCCCTCCTCCTCCCCACCCAGCTGTGCTAGGGCAGGTGGGGAGGGGTGGGGCCCCTGGGGCCTGGGTTTCTGTCTTCCCAGGCAATGTCGTCTGGGAAACTCAGGGCCCTGCAGAGGCACGATCAGCCTCTAGTCCCAGCTCTGCTGGCTGGACTGTGGAGCCGTTTCCTCGCCCTCAGCATTTGGGGCCCCTGCAGAGGGTGGCCTGGACCCCAGCAGAAAAGCTCCCAGCCTACTCTCTAGGCCTCTCATCCCCCTCTGTGGAGGGTTCTGTACTGGGAGTTCCCAGGGCGATGCTTCTGCACCCTGACTCCTGCAGGCTCTGCCTGATGTTGAAGGAGAGGCTGGGCTGGAACCCAGGGGGCTCCTGGGGGGTGCCCCTGGGCATTGGCAACCTGATAGACTGTCAGCATCCCCACACCATGGGGCAGCACCTCTGTGTTGGAATCCTGGAGGCTCCATTGTTAGCCGAGTCCCCCCAGGATAGGGCTTCAGTTGCTGGCTGCTCGGCAGAGCTCCCCGGCAGTCCTCCCACTTCCAAGGGTGTGCTGCCAGGAATCATTCAAGGACCCCTGCCCTCTACTCTGCAGCTCTGGCTGTGAAGAGAGCTGTTTTTGGCCTGGCTCCATGCTGGGGTGGGGGTGGGGTGTCTCCGAGTGGTCTGGCTGGCGGTGGGCCACTAAGGAGCAGAGCCCAGGGTGCTCCTTCAGTGCTTCGGGTGACAGCAGCCATATCCTACGCAGCTTCTCCTGTCTGTCTGTCTTGACTGGCGAGCAGTCTGTCTGAGCCCCGGGCAGCATCTGACCCAGCCTCACACAGACTTTCTCCTCCTTCCCAGGCTGCTGGGGAAGGGAGCCGCCTCTGCTGCTGCTGGGCTTCCCCCTCCCCCCTCCCCTCTGAGCCTGCAGTGTGACTGGAAATAGGCTGAATTAATCAGCAGATGGGAGCGCCGCCGCTTGCTCGCTGTGCCCGTGCCCGCTCTCTGCAGATCAAGCCCCTCTTCTCCCCCGTCTCTGCAGAGGGCCCCTGGGGCCTAGGGCGCAAGCTCGCGATGCTCTTTAAGCAGGCAGAGCTATGGGTGCCCCAGCGGGGCAAAGGCAGCCAAGTGAGTACACCCGCGTGCTGGAGATGTCTGCTGGAAAATGGCTTGCTCCCTCCCTGCTTTGTGCTCAGCAACTGCTGGGATCCAGAAGATGGGTGCAGACCCTGGGCGGGTGGCTCAGGCGCTGATGCGGGAGGAAAGGAGGAGAGGGAGAAGGACCTTGGGGGTGGGGGTGGGGGGCAGAGACAGGGATGGGAGCCAGAAGCGCTGTGTGTCCAGGCTGCTCCAGTCCCCAGGTCTGCAAGACTGGAGGCTGAGCCTCTGCAGGCTCTCTGCCCAGTTTTCCTCAAGGACAGCCTGGCCAGGTACGCTAGGACCTGGTCCCCATATGTGGCAGGCAGCACTGGGGACAGGGTGGGCATGGATGCCAGACTCTCGGGACCCTCAGTGGGCCTCTCCCACTGGGCCACATGAGACAGGCGAGGGCCTTGGGCTGGTTGGGGTTGGGGAAGGCAGCAGCAGCAGAGGAAGGGCCAGGGTCAGCCTTGGCCTGGGAGAGACAGAGGAGAAAGCCCCTCTGCTGGGGTGTCCACTGGCTGGCCAGATCTGGCCTGTCCCAGGAGGAGAAGGGCCTTGGCTGCTGAGAAGACCCAGGGTCTGGTGGCTGAGTCCCTGCTTCGACATTGTGTGCAGCCCAGCCTGGTCCCCTACTGACCCAGGAGGCCATGGCCAGAGGCCCCAGCCAGTCCTATCTAGTGGTCATCTGCTCATGGCAATGGCCACCAGGGTCAAGGCCTCCACTCAAAACCTGGCCTCCTGAGCCTGGCAACATGAGTTCTACCGCTCCCCACACCACCAGCCTTGCAGTTAGCCTGACATTGTGCCTGCTGCACCCCTGGGGCTCATTAAAACGGGCGTGGGAAGGGAAACAGCTGCTTTGAGGAGCTCCTGAGCACACCAGGGGCTCACCTGAGAGTCCTGGCTGAGGTGGGCGTTGAGTCTCGGGGGAGGGTGCAGAATGACAGGCAGCTGGGGGAGCAGCGTAGCTCTGCTGCAGCCTCGCCTGCAGACTCCGCTTGCAGAGCATCCAGCCTGCTGGCCTGGCCTGCTGGTGTTGGTGGAGAGGCCTTCCTTAGCCATGGGCCAGACCGGCGGCCTGGGGTGACTAGGGCCAGCAGGAGGTATCTCTTTGGTTTCCCTTTGGCCCTCTCACTTCTCTGACCCTGGAGGGAAGGTGCTAGAAGGCGGACCAGTGAGTAGAACTCAGGTTGTTCTTGCTCACCGCTCAGGGACCCAGCCTGTGTGTGTAGTGGGAGGTGCTGGGAGCCTGCCCCCCTCCAGGCAGGTCAGTCTTCCAGGAAGTGTAAGGGCTCTGATGCCCCGAGGGGAGCGGGTGGGGTACAGTGAGGGGAAGGCTTGGCCCCACCCTCACTTGACCTTCCTGCCAAGGAGGGTGTGAAGCAAGCCTTCCTGTCTGTGCCCTCGCGCTGGTGACTGCCCGGAGAGGGGCATGTTTTCCCCAGCCGTGCTGTCTTAATCGGCTGTCTGATGGAGATTGGTGCTCCTGGCCAGACACAACCAGCGGGGGTGGAAGCAAGCTGGCATCCTCAGACCCTTCTGCCTCAGCCAGCCCCATCCCCAGACCTGCCACCCTTGGCCCACACCTTCCACCCCGGAGGGCAAGCATGCAGGGTGTCTGTGGCTGGCCAGGGCCACAGAGAGAACCAGTTTGGCATTGGGCCCAGTGCCTGGAATGAGGTGGCTGGGGGCCAGTGGGCTGAGGCTTTGCTGATGGGTCAGCATCCCAGGTGGGGGTCTCCGGGTGCTTGGGGCACCCCCCTGATCAGTGCCCTCATCACAGGCTGAGTCCCAGGTGAAGTGAAACCCCATAGGGTCAGCCCCGCTCTCCTCCCGCCTCCCTCCTCACCCCAGACTCTGGCCTGCACCCCACCGCACTTAGAGACACATGCTGAGCCCCGTGGGCTGTGCTGGTGTGGAGGGGAGTGGGGGTGGTGGGGGGCCAAGGCCACAGGATCAGCTTTAGCTTGCTGAGTGATCGTTCACAGCTGGCTTCGGGAAGGGAGATGATGGTGAATGGAAACTTGCACCGGCGTCCCCTCCCCTCAAGTGTCCCCCAGGGCTCCAGGGCTCCTGTCATACCTGGCTTGTGCCCAGCCCTAAGCCTCTCTCTCCCCTTGGCATGGCTGTAGGAAGGCAGCCACATTGCCCTGCGAAGCTCTGGGTCCCCTTTCCCTCTCCCTGGCCTCGGCCCTCCCTGCAGGCTGGCTACCTTCCCCAGCAGGAAGTCACTGAGGCCCTGGTGTGGGGCCCTCAGAAAGGTTGTGGGAAAATCATCTTTTCATTCCGTTTTTCCAGGAACTTTTTGAAGCTTCCCCGGGCAGCTAGCTGTAGCTGGCCTTTCAAGGTGTCCACTTGTTCTGAACCATAGCCCCTGCTGCCAACAGGGCCCCAGGGTCCTTGCTAGAAGGGGTTGCCCTGGAGGGCTCCTTCCCATGTAGGGCACAGCCCCTACCCAGAGGACTACTGCTTTCTGAGCTGAAAGAACCAGTTTATCCCTCTTACTTTCATAACCGCCCTAAGCACTGTGCAGAGTGGGCATTAGGGGAGGGAGCTGGGAAGTCTCTGCACAGGGTCACTCCTCCGGCCAAGGGCACTGGCAGCAGGCCCACCTGTTGAGGTGGGGTTTTCACTCAGGAGCGCCCCTCGCCCCCAGGTGACAGGCAGATCCTACCTCTCTCCCCCCTGAGCCTGCAGTATGGTGGGGTGTTCTGTGAGGGGTCAGGTCAGCTTGCCAGGTAGAGAGAAAGGTGGGCCAAGCCAGGACAGGAGCTGGGCAGTGGGGGGAATGAGCTGAAGCAGCCAGAGAGTGCCAGTCTCAGGCCCAGCTACCCATTCTTGTCTGGACCCCCCATCAGGGACCTACCCGAAGACCCCTTTCTTGGTGACCCAGATCTAGGGACTGCCTCCCCGTGGCTTCACAGCCACATTCCCAGGAGGCCCCTCTGCAGCCTCACCTTCGTGATGCCTCATTTGGGCACTTTTTTTTTTCTGGGGCCCCGAAACTGGGGTCTGTGTCTCAGATTCAAACCCTCTCCCCATCTCAGCAGGTGTGGGCAGGGCCTGGACACACCAGTGTCCAGAGCCCCAGGTATTTCTGCTACAGCTGCACCTGGTTCTGTTAGCACTGGGGTCAGTGTGGGTCACGGCCAGTCCACCCATCGCCCAGGGCTCCCTGAGCTTCCATGCTCCAGGACGCCTTCTCGGCTGGTGGGGGTGGGGGTGGGGTGGGCACCTCAGTACCTGTTTTTTGAGGCGGTGCAGTGGGGGAGCGGGTGGGGGGAGCCAGACGGCACAGTCTATAATTACAGTCCATATGAGGCCTGTGGGCTGCCCAGGCCTCCCCCTGGAGCACCGCCCCACTGGGCTTGGGAGATTTGGAGCAGAGGCTTGCTGGAGGGGATGCTGGAGCAGAGGCCTGACGGTGACAGGTGCTAAGTTGGGGTTCTAGGTACTGGGAGGAGCCGGGAAGCACTAGTGAGGGGGCAAAGGGCAGGGGCAGGTCCTGAGCGCCATCCCCATTGCTCCTGCTCTGGAGGAGGTAAAGATGGGGTGAGTGGATCCCACAGGCGTTGACCCTGGTGTGGTGGTAGAGCTGGTCTGGAAACGTGAGGGCTGGTGGGGGCTCGGGCTGGCTGGGGTAACGGGCCAAGTGGTAGGTGCAGGCTACTTGGACTCGTGCGGAGGCGGAGGGACAGGTGACCCTGAGTTTGGGCTCAGTGAGCTGAGGGGCAGTGCGCCAGCAGTGGCCAGGTGGCTGAGTGGGTCTGAGTTGGCGGTGGAGTGCTAGGGGCTGTGAGTTTCTGGGGGTTTGCCCAGGCCAGAAGACGCCAAGCACGGATTGTGGGCTAGATGGAGGAGGAAGAGCAGACTGGAGGGCCCAGCGGGACAGAAGCCAGGGCTCAGGTGAGTCTGTGTTTAGGGACTCATCACCTCTTCCTGTCTCGAGCCCTGCTTCCCTCCTTCGAGGGGGCCAAGGGGGCACAGTCAGTGTAGAAAAAATTCCGTGGGAAAAAATATTTTTTTGAAGTCTGTCCTGCCTAGTAATTTACTAGGGGTTGGGGGACCGATTACTGGATGTCTAGTTAGCCCCTAGCTTTGGTGGTCCCATGGTCCCCGGATCCGACTCTTGTGACCCAAAGAGCTTTCTTTCACTGGCTGCTTTTAGGGAGGGGAGGCGGGGGAAGTGGGCACATTCTGTTCATTTACTAGAAACACTGGGGGCGGGGGACTTGGCGTCTCTGTGTAAGTCCCCTCTCCCGTTTTACACAGGTGGATTTTCCGGCCTCGGAGATAAAAAAGTCTGGAACCCGGGAGCTAAACCGGGAGTTCAGTGGTGGGAGCATCTGAGGGAGGTGGGCAGGCAGGGGACAGTGGACTGTGAGTGGAGTGGAAGGCGGCAGGGAGTTTGATACTTTACTTTGAAGAGAAGGGCTGTGACTGGGGTGGTGTTTAATCTGGTGGAGGTTGGGATTTTCTTACCACCCTCCCCAGGGGCCTGGGCTAAGGGCCTGGCCCAGCGGGAAAGCTAGGCTCCCTTCTGGCTTCCTGGGTCTCCTGAGGTGCCTCTACACCCTTCCCCTCCCCAGGGCGAGCCTCCCCTGGCCCTGGGCCTATCCACCCGGAAGGCTCTCAGCATCCTGAAGGGGCAGCTGGAGGCTGTGCTGGAAGAACACCTGAAGGAGCGGAAGAAGCGCCTCACCTGGAAGGTGAGCCACGAGCCAGCCGGCTGGCAGGGGTGGGAGGCCCCTTCTCAAGGCTCAGCCACCCTGCCACCCTGGGCCCCAGAACCATCCCCAGGCAGAGGTGAGAAGTGAGAAAGGAGCCGCTGCACCCTGCAGCCAGGATGAGAGCGAGGGGCCCAGGCCAGACAAGGCAGGGGGAGCGAGGGGGAAGGCAGCCCGAGTCTCACTGGATCAGAGCTGCCTGCCTCCCCGGCCGGCCGCCGTCCACCTCTCACTGCAGCCTAGCTGCCCGTCCTGTGTCTGCCTGCAGGAGGTGTGGCGAAGCAGCTTCCTGCATCACAGTGACCGCTGCTCGTGTTTCCATTGGCCCGGAGCCTCGCTCATGCTGCTGGCCGTGCTGCTGCTGCTGCTGAGCTGCCACGGGAGCCAGCCGGTGGGCAGGTGAACCAGGCCCCGGCAGCCCCCGGGGAGTGAGCACCCCAGCCCCTGCCAGCAGCACCCCGGGCCATTGGCTAGAGGCCTGTCAGTGTCACCCTCCAGAACGCTAAGATTTCATTTGAGTCTGGGTCAGAGGGTACAGAAAGCTCAAGAGTCACACATTTTGTTCCGTGGTGCTACGCTGCAGTCCCGAGAGTGTGACACGTTCCCTGTCCCCACCCGCCCCCAGGGTCCCCATGTGCCTTTGTGGTCCTCCTTTCCCGCCCCTTCCTGCCTCCGAGCCTTGCTCTGGGCGCTCCGAGCAGCGTGTTCCTCATCGGTGCCTGCTGGCCGGCCTGCCTGTGGTTTGACTACAGGGTGACCCTGCCACGCTCTTGTCTGAGGGCCTGGGGTGGGAAGGCTGGGTGGGAGAGCTTCCTCTGCTGGTAGTAGAGCCTCGACCGTTCGTTCCTGCCCAGCCACAGGGTGGCACTGGTGAATGCCTCAGCGCTGGCCCTGCTGCTGCTGCTCAATCTTGTCCTCATTGGGCGGCAAGAGCGGCTGAAGCGTCAGGAGGTGGAGCGGAGACTCCGTGGGATCATTGACCGAATCCAGGGTGAGCCCCGGGGCAGGGGCATGATGGATGCCTGGGGAGGAGCCTTGAGCAGGGTCAAGAGAGCAGCAGCCCTGGGGTCACCGTGGCAGGACAGCAGAGATCTCCTCTCCTCGTCTGCCTGGTCTGCTCTGGTCGTGCTGGGCTTGGGGCAGGAGAGGTGGGAGACTGGAGCAGAGTCAGATACCTTCTAGCAAGGGGGTGGCACAGGAGTCGGGATCCCTGGTCCTCAGGGAGAAGGGCGGGTTCAGAGGCGGGTCCTGTCATCCCAGGGGTGCTGGCTGGGCTCTTTGGGAGGGGCAGCACCTTCCCCAAGGGGGCTTTCTCCAGCAGTCCTGGTGGTGCAGGGTCAAGGGCTGAGTGAGCCTGCCTTCACTCCTGAAACAAGTGAGGGCCAGCCACCTGCGGGCACGGGAAGGGCAGCAGTGCCCCAGGAAGCTGGGCCCAGTTCGCTGGGAGCTTTGCTCGTGGCTTCCTCTTGCTTACCAGAGTCATGGATGCCCCGCAACCTGGGGCCTCTGCCATGGGCCCCTGGCCCCCCTCTCACCCAGGCCCCACTGCTAGTCCCAGGCCCACCTCCACTGCTGCCGCTAACGCCCTGCCTTTGTCCCACTCTTTCCTGCTGGCCCTGCTGTTCACTCCCTCGTCCCGCCCACCACTCACCTGTCCAGGCCCATCTCTGAGGACCATGTCCTGAAGCCTGTGCTGTGCCCACGAGCACTGGGTTGGAGTTTTCCCTCTGTGTCTCCCTCCCCTCCAGGCTGTAGCTCTTGGGGGTAGAGCCCGGGTTCCCTTGTTTTGCCTCTTACAGACTCCGAAGGGTCAGTGAAGAGAGGGATGCTGAGAACAAGCGTCCCCGGGGGTCCAGTGGAAGGGGACTGGCATGGGAGGAGCTCAGGCAGGTGCTGGGCCAGGTGCGTGAGGAGGGTGTTTCCTGTACTATTCTTCTCAGACGCCCTGCAGGATGGCAAGGAGACCAGGTGGCCCAGTGCCATGTACCCTGACCTCCACATGCCCTTTGCACCGTCCTGGTCCCTGCACTGGGCCTACAGAGACGGACATCTGGTCAACCTGCCGGTCAGCCTGCTGGTAGAAGGTGATATCATAGCTCTGAGGCCAGGCCAGGAGTCCTTCGCCTCTCTGCGGGGCATCAAGGTAGTTCGTTTCCTCCTGCCCTGGGATGCACGGATGTGCCCACAGGCAGACGGGGGAGGCCCCCCTGCCCAGTCTTTCCCGTTCCCACCCCAGCTCTGGGGGCTCCTTGACCAGGGCTGTGGGGCTTGTGGGGCTGGACCCTGTCCTCTTCCTTCCCTGCCCTTCCCCCTCACTCCTCTGCTCCTGGCCCCTGTGACATGTCCCCACGCGGTTGCACTGAGCTGGCAGACCCCGACCACCCACCCGCCTCCCTCCGTGCCGGCAGGATGATGAGCATATCGTCTTGGAGCCAGGAGATCTGTTTCCTCCCTTCTCCCCTCCCCCCTCCCCCCGGGGCGAAGCGAAGAAGGGGCCCCAGAACCCCCAGCAGCACCGGCTCTTCCGGGTCCTGGAGACGCCTGTGATTGACAACATCAGGTGGGGGTGCTGCCCAGCCTTCCCCATAGCCCCCCGACTTCTCCCCTGGCGGGCCTCCTCCCTAGGGTCAGTTCAGAGGGCTCAGGCCATGCTCCTAGGGGCCCCTGGCCAAAGCAAGGGCACAGCATGGATCCCAGGTGCCTTGAAGTAGCGTCCACTTGAGACCGAGTCCTTCAAAGAAGGGTCTGAGGGTCATCCTTGCTGCAGGTGGTGCCTGGACATGGCCTTGTCCCGCCCGGTCACTGCCCTGGACAACGAGCGATTCACTGTGCAGTCGGTGATGCTGCGCTACGCTGTGCCTGTGGTCGTGGTGCGTGCGTGGGGCAGGCCCTTGCAGAAGGGGGCCCTTTGGGTGGGCGAGGGAAGGGGAGACTGGGTTTCCCCGAGCCCCTGGGCCAGGCCCAGACAGGCGTGCAGGCAAAGGCGGGTCCTGGATGAGGTGTGAGGGCATAGGGCAGTCTTGGCCACAGGGCAGGTGTGGAGGCCGAGCTTGTCCTGTGCCTGCAGGCCGGCTTCCTCCTCACCAACGCACTGCGCTTCATGTTCAAGGCCCCTGGGGTCACCTCATGGCAGTACACGCTGCTCCAGCTTCAGGTAGACCTGCCCTTCCTTCCGCCCTGCCCTGCACCTGTCCCCTTTCGGTGCCCTGACTGCCCCTCCTCTCTGAAGTCCTGAGGTCTGTCCCTCGGGCTCCCGTGCCGCCCTTCCTGCCCTGCACAGCTGCCTTTCTCCTCAGGGACCGGCCGTGTGGCCAGCAGCTCCCCCACTCCGACTCTGGGGTGGTAGCTGGCCAAGGGCCTTCAGCGTGGCCCTCTGCCCCCAGGTGAATGGGGTCCTGCCCGTCCTCCCTCTGCTCTTCCCAGTCCTCTGGGTTCTGGCCACCGCCTGTGGGGAAGCCCGCGTCCTGGCCCAGATGAGCGAGGCCTCCCCCAGCTCGCTGGTAGGTACCCTGGGGTGGGAAGGAGGGGGCACCAGCTGCACCCAGAGACCAGAGTCCAGCCCAGCTCCAGCTTGGTGCCCCTGGAAGCCCGGGCACTCTCCAAGGCTGCACCTTCTGTTCCCAAAGAGCTTGCAGAGCGGGGCTCGGGGGCAGCCTGGGGGTCTGCCACCAGAGGGGATGGATCTCGGGGGGCCACCGAGGCGGGGGTGTCGTCGTCTGCACATTGAGGCCGTTGTCTTTTCTCCATGCAGCTGGCCAAGTTTTCGGAGGATACTCTCAGCAGCTACACGGAGGTCATCTCCTCCAAGGTACGCTGTCTGGGGTCACATCATGGCTGGCCGTGCGGGGTCCTCAAAGTCACTGCTCCCCCATTTCAAGTGGACTCCCTCAGCCTGGACCCTGGTCTGGACAGACATGTCTGCCCCCCCAACTGCCCAATGCTCCCCTGAGTTTGTATTTATTGACAGGCTCCCCCCACCCCACCCCCACCTGAGCCTGACAGACCTCCCCTGTCCCGTCAGGAAATGCTGCGCTGCGTGTGGGGCCACTTCCTGAGGGTGCTCCAGGGCACCTCCCCGACGCTGAGCCACAGCTCCAGCCTGCTGCACGGCCTGGGCTCCGTCACTGTGAGTGCCGGCGCAGGCCTCGCCCCTGCCTGCCGCACCCCAGGCAGGCACCCCAACTCAACGCCGTCTCCCCGGCAGGTCCTGTGCTGTGTCGACAAGCAGGGCATTCTGTCGTGGCCCAACCCCAGCCCCGAGACGGTCTCGTTCTTCAGTGGGAAGGTGGAGCCCCCGCACAGCAGCCACGAGGACCTGACGGATGACCTGTCCACACGCTCCTTCTGCCACCCTGAGGTAGAGGCGGGGGCAGGGCCGGCTCCTGGGGGCCACCCTTGGAGCCTAGCCAGTGGCCCTGGGGAGGGGGTGGGGAGGGCACTCCTTGGACCCATCAGCTTCTGCGCAGTGAGGCGAAGCCACAGCCGCAGTGCCAGGACCGTGTGCCTTGTTCTCCTCAGCCCCACGAACGGGACGCCCTCCTGGCCGGCTCCCTGAACAACACGCTGCACCTGTGCACCGAGCCGGAGCGCGGCGACTGGCCCGGCGATGGCGCCAAGCCCCTTGAACCCCACGCTCACCACAAGCCCCATGGCCGCAGCAAGCACCCGTCGGGCTCTAACGTGAGCTTCAGCAGGGACACTGAGGGCGGGGACGAGGAGCCCGACAAGGTAAGCGTGAGCGGCCCAGCCCCGGCCCGGGAGCCTGAGCGCCCAGTGGTGACTCCTGCTGCCCGAGAGCCGTCCTGTCCCCCAGCCACCCTGTCCACACCTGTCACCAGACCCCTTGCCTGCTCCAGGCCTCACAGAGGGCCCTTGGCCGGGGCTGCTCCCTTGCTTCAGGAGCCCTGGTCGCGCAGTGGTTAGCTCGCTTGGCTGTGGTGTGGACACACAGCCTGCCCTGCCAAGATGACGGCTGTACACACCCAGGGGCAGCCCTGCTCCGTCCTGCAAAGCCACTGCTGGGACTCGGAGTCCACTTGATGCGTGTGCTGTTTGTGTGGGTAAAGGTGAAGTCAATGAGGCCTTGGAAACCATACTCCCCCGACCGCAGGCAGTCCTTCCTGTGCCCTGGTCTGGGCGCCCCTCTCATGCGGGGTGGTCACTGTCATCTCTAGCCACTGGCGCAGACCAAAGCGGCTGTCAGGGTCCAGAACCAGAGCCCCGCCTTCCCCTCCCGCCCCCTGCCAGGGCTGCCAGAGCCCTCCCGGTCAGGCTGAGGCGGCGCTCCCTTGTGTCCCCCGCGCGGCCAGGACACGGAGCCCTGCGAGACGGAGGACGTGGTGTGTGACTACCACCTGGAGATGCTGAGCCTGTCCCAGGACCAGCAGAACCCCTCCTGCATCCAGTTCGATGACGCCAACTGGCAGCTGCACCTGCCCTCCCTCAAGCCGTTGGGCCTCAACGTGCTGCTGAGCCTGTGCGACGCCAGTGCCACCGAGCGGCTCTGCCGCTTCTCGGACCACCTGTGCAACATCGCCCTGCAGGAGAGCCGCAGCGCCGCGCAGCCCGTGCACGTGCCCTGGGGCCTCTGCGAGCTGGCCCGCCTCATCGGTGAGCCCCAGCCCTGAGCCCTGCCCAGTGTTTCCTGGGGAGGTCCCGAGTGGCTTACTGTCCCTCTGTGTCATCCTCCCCTGCCCCCCACCCTCCCCACAGGCTTCACCCCTGGGGCCAAGGAGCTCTTTAAGCAGGAGAACCACCTGGCGCTCTACCGCCTCCCCAGTGCCGAGGTGGTGAAGGAGACTTCGCTGGGGAGGCTCTCGTGTGTCACCAAGCGGCGCCCCCCGCTCAGCCACATGATCAGTCTCTTCATCAAGGACACCACCACCAGTGAGCCCCACCCTGCACACCCAGTAGTGGACAGCCTCTCCCTGGTGGGCCTGGGCAGATCTGCCACCCGGCTGGCCTTCCCATGGGCAGACCGCTGCAGGGTGGGGTTGTGTGGCTCTTGGACCCACGGAAGGATCGGAACTGAGGGTGTCTGCAACTGTGGGGTCTGGGGTGCACCCCCACAGACCCCTCCCCCTTGCCGGGCCCCCTTAGCACCCAGGTCGGTGGAGGTGACGTGGGCACCCACGGCTCACCTTCTTCCCGGCGCCCGCAGGCACGGAGCAGATGCTGTCCCACGGTACGGCTGATGTGATCCTGGAGGCCTGCACAGACTTCTGGGACGGTGCTGACATCTACCCGCTCTCGGGGTCCGACAGGTGTGCAGGGAATGGAGTGGGGAGGATGCAGGAACGTCAGCTGGCCAGGGGCGGCCTCCCTCTCATAGACCCCTCACCTGCCTCTGCTCCTCATGCAACAGGAAGAAAGTACTGGACTTCTACCAGCGTGCCTGCCTGTCCGGGTACTGCTCCGCTTTCGCCTACAAGCCGATGAGCTGCACCCTGTCCTCACAGCTCAACGGCAAGTGCATTGAGCTGCTGCAGGCGCCTGGCCAGGGCAGCATCTTCACCCTGTGCGAGCTGCCCAGCACTGTGGCCGTCAAGCACAACAGCCGCCGCAACAGCTGGAGCTCCGACGGTACCTGGCGCCCAGGGCCCACAGCCCAGCGGGGACCCAGCAGACAGCAGGCCTGGCACTCGCTCTCGGGGGCGGGCGGGGTGGGGGAGACGCCCCTTGGATTATTCGTGTGTGAATCCCTGCCAACATGGCCCTGCCGGGTCTGGTGGGATGCTGTGTGGGAAGCATGGCCTGCTGGGTGCTGAGCTGCTCCCCGTGCACCCCCTGGTAGCCTTCGGAGGGGACTGGTGGGCACAAGAGACTAAGGGTGGAGGCAGCCTGAGGGTGGGGAGCAGGCAGGGCTGGCAGGGAGGGGGGGCTCCCGGGACTGACAGTTCTTTCCATCATTTCTTCTCCCGTGTCTGTCGACTCCCTCATGTGACTTGACTGTGTTTGTACCTGTGTCCATCCGTCCCCGTGTGTTCTGTGTGTTCTGTGTGTGTGTGCGCGGTGCGCGCGGCTCCCCGGGGCACGGTGAAGAAGGGCTCGGGGAGGCGCTGGAGCAGGAGGACTGCGTGCGGGCACTGAGCGGGCAGATCTTCATGGGAGTGGTGTCGTCCCAGCACCAGGCCCGGCTGGACGTTGTGCGGCTCATCGATGGCCTGGTCAGTGCCTGCATCCGCTTCGTCTACTTCTCCCTGGAGGACGAGCTCAAGAGCAAGGTGGGGGCTGGCCCCTTGGCAGCTGCTTGGCCTCCCTTCCCCTGGCTCGGGGCTGAGGGTGACACCCCTCTGCCTTCCGCAGGTCTTCGCTGAAAAGATGGGCCTAGAGACGGGCTGGAACTGCCACATCTCCCTCACGCCTAACGGGGACATGCCCGGCTCCGAGATCCCGCCCTCCAGCCCCAGCCACACGGGCTCCTTGCATGATGACTTGAACCAGGGTGAGCCGCAGCCAGAAACGCCCCTCAGCGTCCCAGCGGCTGGGGAGGGGATGCGGAAGCTCCGTGGCCCTCCCAGAGGCCAGCCCCCTCGCTTCTGTCCCTGCAGTGTCACGGGATGACACGGAAGGGCTTCTCCTGATGGAGGAGGAGGAGGGCCACTCGGACCTCATTAGCTTCCAGCCCACGGACAGCGACATCCCCAGCTTCCTGGAGGACTGCAACCGGGTATGGCCGGGGAGGAGAGGGTAGGGGCTGGGGCCCCTGCTCCGGTGATGACCGGTGAGGCCAGGGTAGGGGGAAGTGGTGAAGGGCAGACCCTCCCCAGTCCTGAGGCCACTGGGCTCTGCTGTCTCCAGGCCAAGCTGCCTCGGGGGATCCACCAGGTGCGGCCCCACCTGCAGAACATTGATAATGTGCCCTTGCTGGTCCCCCTCTTCACCGACTGCACCCCAGAGAGTGAGTACCGGGAGCATCCATCTAGCGTGTCAGTTACACTTAGAGCTATGGGGGGGCCACTCCCCTAGTCTGTTGGCCTCCACGTAGCCCCACTGCCGGCTAACTTGTTCTCTTCCCCCACCCCCACCCCACCCCCCGTGGGGTCCCAGCCATGTGCGAGATGATCAAGATCATGCAGGAGTACGGGGAGGTGACCTGCTGCCTGGGCAGCTCTGCCAACCTGCGCAACAGCCGCCTCTTCCTTCAGAGCGACATCAGGTCAGAGTTCCCCAGGCTGGCTGCAGGGGGCTGTCCCACGGCTCCCCTGTGTGGGGGCTCGGGGGCCTGGGGAGGTATATTACATAGCACTGGAGTGTAGAGGTCCAGGAGAAGCCAGGCCTCAGGACCGTGGGTGCTCGTCCTACAACTCCCAGTTGTAGACGCCCCGGGGGCCCAGGCCTGGGGGCTGCAGGTGTGGGGCCGGGAGGAATGGTGCTCGGCCCCATGGGGCGGGGTCTTGACCCCCAGCAGCTGACAGTGCCCCTGCCCGGACCAGCATCGCCTTGGACCCCTTGTACCCATCGAGGTGCTCCTGGGGGACCTTTGGCTACGCCACCAGCACCAGCGGGGCCCAGGCAGTGGACGGCCTCTCCCCGCTGCAGCTCTCAGGCCAGCTCAACAGTCTGCCCTGCTCCCTGACCTTCCGCCAGGAGGAGGCCATCGGCATCATCCGGCTCATTGAGCAGGTGAGGAGGGACCGGCTGCAGGGAGCCAGGGGCGGGCAGGACACAGCATCTGCCCAGTCCTCCTGTCAGCTCCGTGAGCAGCGCTCCTGGCGGGTTAATTGGCATCCGCTCCTTCCTGGCAGGAGCCTCCCACTGGGCCTCTGCCTGTGGACTGAAGCTTGTCAGCTGTGGGGCCTGAGAGGGGCCAGCCAGGCTCAGGCCTAACCTGTCCTTCTCGGTCCTAGGCTCGGCACGCCACGCACGGCATCCGTAAGTGCTTCCTCTTCCTGCTGCAGTGCCAGCTGATGCTCGTCGTCCTCCAGGTGAGGGGTCCGCCCTGTCTTTGCTCAAGGTGGGGGGAAGGAGGCTCAGGGAACCCGCTGGCCCCTGTGGATGAAATGATGTCCCCTGGCCCCACTCCTCTTAGCTAGGACTGGACAAGGCACCCCAGGGGCGCTCGAGGCTCCATGGGACAGATTCAGATGCTGGTTCTGGTTCTTTCCTGGCCTAGTTCTTGGCTTGCCTGGTCCAGCTGCCCCCGATCCTGAGCACCACTGACATCCTGTGGCTGTCCTGCTTTTGCTACCCCCTGCTCAGGTGAGGGGCTGCACACACCTGGCTGCCTCCCGGGGCGGTGGCCCACCAAGCACGCCCAGGGAGCCCCAGGTTCTCTGGAACTGGAGGCACTGGGAGGACCCCCTAAAGGCATCCCACGTGGGACTTGGGGCACAGGGGTCACTGACTGGACACCCAATTTCTGCCTCTCAGCGTCTCTCTGCTGGGAAAGCCCCCTCACAGCTCCATCATGTCTATGGCAACCGGGAAGAACCTTCTGTCCATTCCTAAGAAGGTGCGTGTGTGTGCCTGGGCCTTCATGGAGCCTAACCCAAGATGAGGATGGATTCCATCAGGCCACCGGGTCCAGCCCTCCTCCAGATGGAAGGGGAAACGGGAGGTGACACCGAGCCAAGAGGGAGGGAGGCTGACTGGGGGCTGTTACATCACAACCATAGACGGAGGAGCCTGTGGGCCATGTGCAGTGGCAGAGGGTCCCGGGCCCCAGGCCTGGCCCTCAGGGACGGTGGGTGGCCTCCCCAGTGCAGTGCAGCCCTTATTCTCGCAGACCCAGCACTACTTCCTGCTCTGCTTCCTGCTCAAGTTCAGCCTCACCATCAGTTCCTGCCTCATCTGCTTTGGCTTCATGCTGCAGAGCTTCTGCGACAGCTCACGGGCCCGTAACCTCACCAACTGCTCCTCCATCATGCTGCCCAGGTGGGTGCACGCCCAGAATCGCCCCCACCCCCCAGGCCTTGCCTGCTCACCCAGAGGCGGCTGAGGTCACTTCTGATTTGGCAGTAATGACGACAGAGCTCCCAGCTGGCTCGAGGACTTCGCCAACGGGCTGCTGTTGGCCCAGAAGCTGACAGCTGCCCTGATCGTCCTGCACACCGGTGAGGCCTCCGCGGGCAGGGCTGAGGGGACCCAGGCTCGGGCACAGGGCAGCCTCCTGACAGGTTCCCCTGCCGCCCCCCCGTGTTCATTTCTGTCACTCATGTGCACCGTACTAAACCCCTGTGGAGGAAGAGCCCGCTGACCAACCTCTGGTGGGCCATGACAGTGCCGATGGTGTGAGTATGGGGGGCAGAGTGGGGTGGGGGGTTAGTGCTGGCGGGGCTGGTGAACCATGACAGTGGGATGCCCCAGGTCCCACATCCTCCCTGAGCCCGGCTCAGTGTGGAGAAAAGCAGGTAGACTCGGGGTTCATGTGTGCTGCCCCCCCTCCTGCAGGCTGCTGGGCCAGGTGCTCCAGACAGCAGTGGAACTGCAGCTGTGGACACGCCAGGACAGCCGCCTCCGCTTGGGCCTGGAGCACGTGCCTCTGCTGACCTGGCTCCTGGGCTGCCTCTCACTCGTCCTAGTAGTGGTTGCCAATGAGGTGGTGAAGCTGCATGAGATCAGGTGAGGCGCCTGTGGGGCCCCTGGGCCTGGCTATGCTGAGGGCCCACCTCCCTGCTGCCTGGCTATGCTCTGGGGGCCCATGCTGACCAGCGTCCCCATCTCCCACCCCCCAGGGTCCGGGTCCGCTACCAGAAGCGGCAGAAGCTGCAGTTTGAGACGAAACTGGGCATGAACTCGCCCTTCTGAGCCACGGGGCTGTGGGCCGCCCGACCAGCCTGCCTCTGAGCCTGTGCAGTCAGTGTCAGGAACGACCCAGGGTTTGATCTGCTGGGTACTTGAGACCCAGTGTACGCTTCTGCCCCACCGTCCCCCAGGGCTATGGGGGAGCCTCGGGGCCAGGGCCTATGCCAGTTGGACCAGGCCTGGCACTCCCGAATGTATGGCTTCACCCCTGCAGGCTGCTCGCTCTGCTCTAGGGACCCCTATCACAGCACCCACTGCTGTGGGTGTAGGGGCAGACCCACCCACACACACAAAGGCAGGGGCCCTCCAGGCAGGCCTGGGGGAGGAGCCTGGGCTGCTGCTCCCTATGCACCTTCACCTAGTCTCCCTGGGCACAACACCCAGAGGGCCCGGCCGGCCCATTATCCCTGCCCTTGTTCTGTGAGAATGTTTTTACTGGGGTGTGTTTTCTACTGAAATGAGCCTTGGGGGGGGGACGAATGTAGACGGTTTGTATTAAAACGTATAAATTGCTCATGTGTGGCTAGTGTGTGAGGCTGCGGCAAAGGGCTCTGGGTAAGATATGGCCAGAGGCCTTAGTGGCCATCCTCCACTCAGGCAGGTGTAGTGCACGTGGGCTTGAGGTGGTTGGTCCTTGTACAGATGCAGACAGACACATAGCTGTCCCGTGGAATGACACTTTCATTGGTATTAGTCGGGGGAGACAGTTAATGGTTACAGAGCAGGGTGGGGCTGCTCGGACCTGACCTCCAGCCCCAAGGTAGGGGGAAGGGGGTGCATGTGCAGAGGCCGGAAGTCCCCCACCCCCCAATGTCATCCTCCTGGGCAGTTAATAGATAGAATAAATTCCATTTAAAATATATGAATTTCTCTCTGCTTAGAAAATAACATTTACAGTTGAAATGCTTGGGCTTTTGAGATCGGGATCTTCAGCCCCCCTGCATTACCCCCACAGCCTGGGGGAGAACAGCCTGCCCCCACCTCTTATTTACACATCCTACACTTAGGG